AATTACCTCAAATTGACTGGAATATCAACCCTACAGCTACATGAAATTGTAAAACAGTTGCAAAACTTGAGGCAGCATGACTATATCCCTTTCTAATAATATTTAACATAACTAAGACAAACAGCAAAAATTTCATCCTACTTTTACCAAATGTCACAGTTCAAATTACAGGTCAACATCCAAACTTAACAATTAAAATCACTACAAAACCAACACAACATTTTAAACAAAGGGCAGTTCAACTAAGCTGTCATGGACAGTTCATATCTCTACATCCTAATTAGTAGAAAAATTACTCAACTATTTATATTTTTTTTTAAATTTATTACCTATCAGGAATAGACCGTTTCACTTTCTACCTGTGCCACATTTATCTTAAGTCTTACACTTCTGGATCTTTTAACCATTAGAGAACAACCATCAAATTACTTCAACAAGTAGAAATAGCAACACCGCTCCCAAACAGCAATTTCTGCATTGCTAGACACTTATCTAGTTGGTAGATTTATACCATTGTTCATTCTTAGTTCCTTAAATGTAAAAAATACCCACAGAATGGTGGCATACCTCTAAATTAGTTTAAATATGGTACAAAGTTATATTTAGTTAGGTTCAAGTTTTAAAAAGGCACTAATCATTCTTCTCAAAGGCTAATCTACTCAAGTTCCTCCCATATTAAAAAAAAATAAAAAGCTTAATTTGTCTCTTTTGGAAAGAAGAAATGTTATTTATATAATGCTCAAGCAAAAGGAGATTAGAATAATAGGATAATAGACCTGACATCAAATCAGGGTCAGGATCATACTTATTGTTAATTAAAAATAAGCTTGACATTTATCCTAATGGTGGTCATTTCAAACCCCAGCATGGCTAAATGTCACTCATGTGTACCTTCCAATGCAATTCTTATTTAAAAAAAAAAAAAAAACTAAAAAAAAAACCTCTACTTTTATGCAAAATAAAAAGGAAGAAAACCACCATATACCATTATAAATGGATTCTTATTTATGAAAAAAAGAAGATACAAGAAACAATCATGAAATATTTATTTGAGATCTAGTATTTATTTGACTCCCTCCTTGCATGCTAGAAAGATGCAAAGACAAACACTCTCAAGTATTCAGACAGATCATTCCACAGTTGTAACTTTCATCATAGTTCTCAAAGCAGCATGGTGAGGTCAGCTCACAAACAGCCTAAGGAGTAAAACCAGAAATCGGTGGTAGTAGTATCAGGCTACATAACAGCCTCTCCAAAGAATATGAAGTAACAGAACTAAAATGTGCTGGCAACATGCCAACAGACCGGATGGAACACAGCTTTGAGCAACAAATACGTGGAGCTTACAGTATATAGCAATCCATCACCTCTCACTCTGCAGTTTGCTTTTTCTTGATCTAAGCCCAAAACAGCCACGTATAACAGGTATTTAACACTACCAAATTTTCCACATATTTGTGACCTGAAAGGCATCTGGGCTCGCAATGGTTTGGTAAACTAAATACACACTTCAAAAAGAAAAATCTGACTTTCATCCTATGTGAAGATGAGGAAGGTATAATAAATACAATTATATTGATATCGTTCTGCATAGAATAGCCTTTATTCTTCTCCAAGGGTTATAATGCCTCAGCTTAATTTCAAAGACTTGGATTTCTCTATACTGCCAGTTTTGACTGAGTACCTCTGCAACTGGTTGGTATTCAGAAATAGTCAACCTTCTCAACAAGTTAGTAAAGAATTAATCCTGTCAGATCAAATGACATAATTTTGGTCAAAATTCCTCTGACAGTCAAAATACATGTCACTTTTATAATTTCATCTTTATTGAATCATAATATTAAAAAACAATAAACTCTAATTCTAAATCTGACACTTTCTAAACATATTTTCTTTCATAAGAACCAAAAGAAAACAGTTATTTTAGGCAAGAGAATCATATTCAATTCAAATCAACGCACACTTAACATATACTTTGTACCAGGCACTATGCTGAGAACTGAAGAAACAAAGGTAAATATGTATGTATATGGTCTCAGAGCTGACAATCCAGTTGGGGAGACTGACCTGTTTAAAAACCAATCAATCAATATATCTCTCTCTCTCTCTCTCTCTCTCTCTCTGTGCGTGCGTGCGTGCGTGTGTGCGTGTGTGTGTGTGTGTGTTCTACTAGCTATAGGAACAAAAGTCCTGGTGCCACCTCAGAAATGTGATTAAGTGTGCCAGAGAGGAAAAATCTTCAGAGAATGAGCTATGTCTTAAAGGATGAGAATTTCACAGGGGAAAGTCGAATATCACAGGCCAAGGACAGAATGAGCAAAAGCAAGAAAGCACAAGACATGGCATGTGTGAGGAAGCCCATGTGGCAAGGGTAGGGACAACAACTTCTGGTACGTGTGCTACTACATGACAGGTATCACCAATCAATTAAAAAATGTTTAAAGTCTACATGAGACTCAAATTCTTTCTCAACAGGTAACCCAAAGCTAACAGAAGGAAGGAAGTCCATGAAATGAAATTTACAAGCCAGCCTGAGTCTGGGAATAGAAACTGGTGGGACTTGAGGATAGAAGGATAAATAAAGGACAGATTATGAACAACCATGATGCTAGGCTAATGAGTTTAAATTTTATCCTGTGGACAACAGAGGACGAACAAAAGGATTTTATGAAGAATACTGACATGATTAACTCTGGCAGATGTGTAAAGAATGCATCTGGACAGACAGAATAAAGGCAGAAAGAACAGTTAAGATGGTATTGCAATAGTCTAGGCAAGATATAATGAGGCCTGAATTTCAGCTATGGCAAAAATCTACTGCAAGTTCTAAAACAAAAACGGAATGTTTTCAATTTTATAATCCATGGTTTTAAAATAACAGTTTGAGAAAACAGTATTCTAATTAGAATTCCCAAATAATACTCAAAAAGAAAGAAAAGATAACATAACGTAAAGACTAGAATTAAAGAAGTGAATCACAATGATACTCAAGATTACCCAAGACTATAAATTCAGAAATAGATATTTCAGGTTTAGCATCAAGAAAGAGAACGTCCTCATGACCAGACTAATACTCAGCAAGTCTTTTCTTCCTGAGGGCACTAATACTCTAGCCAACAAACACTATTCACCTTACATGCCCCTACAATGCAGGGTCAAATGCACACTCCCAGTGAGATGCAGAAAGCAAAAAGTAAAATTTAAAACCAAGGAATGAAACCATACAGGAGTTCCACTTTATCCAAACATTTAAAACTACACATTTCTTTTTAAAAACATAAATATGAAATAAATCTCTGGAAATATTACTATTCTACCATTAACTAATTCATATCCCAGCCTTTAAACTCTAAAATTCTTTGCGTGGAATGCAATCTATCAGTAGCACTTTGGGCAGTATGCAAAAAAAAAAAGCAACTCTCCTATCACTTCTGCAGAATGTTTAATAAATGAAATTATCCTAATAAAAATAAAAACTTCACTGTAGCTCAAAGGCCAAAGATAGTCAGAGTTTTTCTATTTTGGAAAAAGATTCTTTAGCTGTTGCAAACAGGCTAATGTAGTGATGTGAAATGCAAGGACAACATGTTAACAACCATGCTAGAAAAGCTAGCATTACTGTTTTAAGACCTAAGGATATTCACATTAAGGATAAAATTATCCTGTCGTGAATGCCAACAATCAGTTCATACTACATGGACACATATCCAAGGGTGCTCCTTTGTTTTCAACCCAACTCTTTTGTGTCCCAGTAACAAACTCTTAAATTGGGATTCTCTACCTCTTAAAACAAGCTAAAATGAAAAATATGAACTCTGGAGACAAAATTTATTTGTGGAATATTGTTTATTCTGACGAAGCAAATCTGATGAACAGTTTATCATAATCTATCTCTTTTCCAGAAAGATGGATTAGCTAGTCAGGAGCACGGTCTATTTCTCATGATGTCATTCCAAAGCCATTGCTAAATGTTACACATTATGCTTCCTTCAAATCAATCTCAAAACAAGTCATCCCAAGACTGAGGTCAAATTCCATTCCAACTAAAAGCTCTCCAAACTTGAAGTAATGGTCCACTTACTAAGTAATAGTCAAAGACCAAATTCCAGAAGAACCCTCCTCCTGTATCCCCCTCCCCCAAATCAGTCTTCTCCTTTTAGCTCATTGTAATGGAATGTGACCTGTAGTTAAGGGCTTTTCCATTCCTTACTTACTGCTCAAAGGACATGAAGCAGATCTGTTCGCTCTCATAAAGGTAATATATGTTTTTTTAAAAAAAGGGGAAGTGTTATTATATGTTAATCCCATAATAACAATTAGAACAAAAGGTAAATTGGTTTACTAGATTTCTCATGTATGATAGCTAGAATGAGTTTATTTAAATAACAACTGAATATTTTTATTTTAGGACACTGGTCAGGCATCTAAAAGAGTTATGATTTGTATGACTCCTAATAAATTAAGGAGGAAAGGGGAGGTTAAACTACAATTACTTAAATAAACCTTCACGCACAAAATTACTATGAACATCTTTTCATGACAAATCATGTTTTTATCATTGAAGTTAAACACTTAAAGTATCTAATCATAGAGAGAGGAGAGAAATATTTAAGAAATGTACTTCAAAGTCTAAAATTAAACACATCTGGCCCCCTCTTCTTCCTCTACCCTCCAGGCATGTTAGCTTTACGTTTCTCTCTCCTAAGTTCCAAGAGCCCGTCTTTTGCCTCTGTATCTTGTTTCCTGAGCCCATTTCTCCTACAGCTCACTTCTACCTCTGTGACTTTCTAAATAAACTTTCTCTTACAACTTGAAAAATAAATTAAGCACATGTGGGATTTGGTTTCTCACTTAAATAAATAAAAAAGAAGGTATCTGACTAGATCATCTTTAAAGCTACTGTGATACTTCAACCCAAGTCCTAAAATGAACAACTTCTTTGATTTATTTCAGACAAAACATCTCCCAAGATAACCCCCTTAAGGATATATTTTACTTACATTCTTCCTACACCTTCATACATGTTAGTTTCGTCTACCAAAGTCATAATCTCTGTATCTGTAAGATGGGCATGCTTTTTCGTTCTGTTTAGCTGTTCAATCTGTATGTCTGCAAGCTTCACCTTCTGTTGGGTGTCAATAACTTTAGCTTGAAGCTCTGTGAAGGCCTAATAAAAACAAGTTCTTGATTTAGTAGGTGAAATATCTTACAGGAAACATTTAAGTAAAATCCAAATATGTTAAAATAAAACATGCTTACCAGAGACAAAGCTGTGAAATTTACTAAAGCAAACCAATAAAAGTATAATTGTAACCACAATCAAGCCATTAGGCTAAATACTGAATTTACCCTGTCCTCAGAATGTCATCTACTTGAAGCAGAAGCAAATGCACATTAAATAATAGCCATATCAAGTAGCAGGTACCCAAGGAGTAATAAAAGTAATAAATGCAACAGTCAGAGAATGAAACCCAGAGACCCAAACAAGAACCATAAATGGAACAACTCTCTACATTTGTATTACTCAACTAGGTCTCAAAGCACTTTCCCACATTTGTTTCAAAAATTAATATAGGTATATTAACATGAGAACCCTGAGTAATATATCTCATTTACTGCTCTCAAATTCTATGAGTTAGGGAGGCAGTTTCATCATAAGTTTACAAATTAAGTAATTAAATGTGTTAAAGAGATATAAGTGGCTTGCACAGGACTGAACAACTATCAGGTGGAAAGTCAGGTATTTAAATCCATTTCTTCTGGTCCCTACTTCAGGAATCTTTTTATTCTACGGTCTACAGTAATATCCAGAATATAAATATTTTTAAGAGAAAGATAAAAAAGAAAAACGAAAAACCTTTCAAAGCTTTGGTAGAATTGCATCATCATCTTCATATGCACATACCAAGCCAAATTTGACCGTGTGTACACCTAACTCAAAGATAAACACAGTTCTTGGATACTCTTGTTGAAGTGCCTGGAATGACTTTCACATGCTGTCAAATTTATGACTTAATAACAAACATTTGTGACTGCAATACATGGCAAAGGCTACTAAACTCTTCTTCTGCCTTGGTTCTCCCCTACCAGTAAGGTTTCAAAAGATTTATCTGGAGGGGAAGGGAAGAGCCTGGAAAAAAAGTATCAGAAGATAAAATCTTTAAACAAGTTTCTTTAGTTAATTTAATTGGTTCTCAAAACTAACCAATTTAAGGCAGAAACCGTTTTCTTAGTTTGCATTCATTGTCCACAGGTTTCTAAGCAACAATTCAATACTGGGAGGTTAAGTCCATTCACAGCTGTACACTATAGCTAGCTCTTTCACTAAACTCGGACTTAAATTTGAATTTTTAACAAGATAAAAAAAAAGTAAACTTTTAGAATGCTTTAAGCATTTTTAATATGAATTTTGTTTTGTATGTAAAATTACAGGTATTACCTGATTGTTGGGTACACAGTTTGCTAAGGAAGCTAGTATGTTGTGAAAGCTGAGATACTACAGCATGAGAGAACACCTAAGGGCCTTATCTACAAGTTTCAAACCAAGAATGATAAAAAGACAGACACACACATAAATCTTCACAGCAATAACAAACAGCCTCATTTATTAGGATCAACAGCTATTTCAGCTGTCCTATTGTTTATGCACAGACTGACCAGAAGGCAATCTTAAGTAAAACTTGTTCTTCTGAAGAACCTAAACTAGTAGCCAAGTGTGGAGTAAAAGGCAGGGGATACTGGATTCTAGACCCAACCTTTGACTGAGTCTTTTCTGGAAATCAGTTTCCTTTTCTACAAAAGGTTTAAAGTAGATGAAGCCTAGGAATCTTTTAAATCCCCTCCCCGCCCCCACAAAAAAGTATGGTTGGATCCTGGCAACTCAGGTGGTGAAAACGTTTCTGAGTAACAATACATTTATAAGCAATTGAAGAGAGAAACCTAATTTCTTCTGGTATCAATTTTGTTTGGAAAACTTTACGGGACTTGTTTCTTTCTTCAACAACTCCTCCGAAAACGGTGGGGGGTGGGGCGCCAAAGCCCTGAGACGCACATTGCTATTAGCATATCTGTGAACTGCAGTACGACCTTCCAGGTTTGGGATCGAATAAGTGGCCTAAAAGCACAGGTTAGATTTGCAGTTTTTCAAAGCAAATGAGGACGTAGCATTACAGAGGCCTCAGCTCGGGCAAGCCGTCCTAAGGAGCTCCAATCTGAAACACTGACTTCAGGCTTTGCTATGGACCTGAAGGCTCCAAGCGCAACGAAACGGCTCTGGAGCTCGGAACAGGAGGACAAGCCAGCTACCGGCCCACCAGACTTAACCAAACCCAGCCCAACAGGCTCTTCTCCAGCAAAAACCGCTCGCTCCCCCCACTCCAACCTAGGGAGACAGGATCCCGCCTTAGGACTCTGGGAAATCACCCCCCCAGTCCCCTGGGGCCTCTTTCCTTCCGCAAGACTCAAGCCTCCTCGATATTCTTGTCCCCGGTCCCCTTGGCTACCAAAGAAAAGCCTCGGCCTACTCAAGACACTTTCTTACCTTCTTCAACTCCAGGTCCACGGGCGCCGCCATCTTGGCTCACTCTCTGCGCCTGCGCGGTGGGAGAAAGCCGGGAAGGGGGGGAAGGGCGCGCCTTGGAGATACGATTAGCCCTCCTTTCTTCTGCGCCTGCGCAAGAGTCAGACTAGTCAGGCTTCTTCACTTCTCCCCGCCTAGAAACTCTTGAAATAGCCTGGATTCCAATTCAGTCTGTGTTCCCCCTGTGCTCTATCAGGCCTGGCCTACTTCTCCACATCCTTCCAGACATAGCACAACACGCAGATTTCGTGTGTGGTTTTCAGCATTTTGACAAATAGTTTAGTTTGTGCTGCTAAACTGAGATGTATGTAGATCAGGCCAAAACCTCTTCATTCATTCAGCTAGCCCTGCGCTGTCAGGGGGGAGAAAAAATCAGCCTGAGCTATGCCAGTATGGAGAAGACCAGAATGCTAGTGACGTGCTCTTCCAAAGAGCTTATTTCTACTGAATGCTCCTGGAAGACCCTTTTGACACAGTGGTTCTCAAGAAAGGCCAAGTAAGTTTGCTAAAATAAATAAATAAAAACACAGGTTCTCTGGTCCTTAGCCCAACCTTATTTACTTAGACTCTTTGAGATTAGGACCTGGAAATTTGTGCTTTTGCAAACAACCCTTAAGACCTGATGCAAGTACTTTGCACACAGACTGAGAATTTGCTGTAAAAGACCTAGCCAGCATTTGAAGGAGAAGGATGGATAGAAATTGCACTTTTGAAAATGGAAGAAATGAATGTTTTACGTACTCTAAAAACTTGTGAGGGAGAGGAAAAGGGTGGAAATTTGGAACCAGACAGATCTGGATTGAAAGTTGGTTTACCCTAACCATGTCTGGTTCCATTTACTAGCTGTGTTGCAGTAGAGTTTGTCTTTTCTTTTTATTTGAGAATAACAGTATTGGCCTAACAGCGTTATTGTGAGTAATAAATAAGATCAGGATAAAAAGCTCCAAGCATAGCTCCAAGAACACAGTAGGTACGCAATAAATAGTTGTAGTTAAGTTGATGTAGTTAGCATTATCCTGTTTGTCTTTCAAGGTCCAGCAAACAGGTCACCTCCTCCATTTTATGTCTTTTTTTATTTTTAACATCACTTATTGCACACGCAGATCAAAAATAATCTCTCCTCCCAACTCTAAAGGCTACATCTGTTCCTGTCGCAAGGTACATGACACTTAATACCTTTAAAAAAAATTTTTTTTTCTTATTAGAGTCTAAGATCCTTGAAACAAAGAACGATAGGATAATGGTTCTGCCAGCACTTCTACCCAGAACACTTATCACAGTGCCTCACAGCGAAGGAATACAAATTAAACACTCAATGAGCATGAATTCTTCAGAAGAAAATTTGTCATCACTCTCTAACTTGAGAAAGGGGAAAAGGGAGCCTAATTCTACTCTGGGATCTTCTTAGAACTTCATTATGGATTATTAGTAAAAATGACTGAATATTGAAATTCAAAGAAAGCTTCAGATACTTCCCTCTGTATTACCTTGTGAGATTTTTAAATACTCTTCATAAAGATTTGTATACCATAAAAATTAAGAGCATGGCCTAAGGTGTCAGACAACCTGGCTTCAAGTATTACCTGCATAACTTAAAAGCAATCTGACCTTAGGCAAGAGTCCTCTCTCACTTTGGTCATTGTTCCTTCTTGGTAAAGTAAATCTTCAGTAGATTCCTTCAGGAAGAGTCTTTGAGGCATAAACTCTTTAGTCTTTGTGTTATGGGTTGAACTGTGCAACCCCCAAAAAACATACATTTAAGTCCTACACCCAGTACCTCCAAATGACATCTCTTCAGAAATTCTTTGCAGAGGTAACCATGTTAAAATTAGGTCTTTGGTGTGGGCCCTAATCCAATATGTCTTAGTCCTTCAGGCTGCTATAACAAAATACCACAGACTGGGTGGCTTATAAATCATAAACATTTTTCTCACAGTTCTAGAGACTGGAACTCCAAGATAAGGATGACAACATGGTTAGGTGAGCACCCTTTTCTGGGTTGCAGACTGCTGACCTCTTGCTGTGTCCTCACTTGGTGGAAAAGGTAACGGATCTCTGTGGGGTTTCTTTTATAAGATCCAGCAATCCCACTTCTGGGTGTATACCCAAAAGAACTGAAAGCAGGGACTAGAACAGATATTTGTACACCCATGTTCATAGCAGCTTATTCACAATATCCAAAATGTGGAAGCAATCCACCGCTCTTTTCTTTTTCATAATGATATGTAATTATACAATCTTGCCTTATAGTGAATATAATTAGAATATAATTAACATAATGATTTTAAAATTTCTTTACACTGTCTTATCAACTGAGGTTTTTCGGGTATAAATTCTTCCATTGGGAGCATCTGCTGGTTTTTCCTCCGATACTTGGTTTTCTCATATGACTAATGAGTTTTTGTCTAAAAACCTATCTTCAGTGTCTAACATGTCTTGGGCTGTGGAAACATCCCTAAGGGTAGCTTCACACTCACTTCTACCAAAGCCCTGTGAGATTCATGGTTCCTGACCAGTTCTTATGTTAATTCTTGGCACCACATGAGTGAAGCCATTTGGGGGGAAATTAAACTTTCTCTAAGCATAAAGTTAGCAGAATGTGATATACATTTATGGACTGGAATCCACTGTATTACTTTTCCATATCTCCTTTTCATTTGAGTCTTCAAAATAAAGTTTATTTCCACCCTAGCTGTTTGGCTCAGTGGCTAGAGTGTTGGCCTGAGGACTGAAGGGTCCTGGGTTTGATTAGGACCAAGGGCACGTACCTCAGTTGCAGGCTCGATCCCTGACTCCAGTCTGGGTGCATGTGGGAGGCAACCAATCAACGTGTCTCTCTCACATCGATGTTTCTCTCTCTCTGTCTCTCCCTCCACTCTCTCTGAAAAGCAATGGAAAAAATATCCTCAGGTGAGGATTAAAAAATAATAATAATAAATAAAAAAAGTTACTTCCTTTCTCTCTCTAGAATTTCTAAAATGGCAGGAAGAGACTATTTACAAAAGTCCCAAAGACTTTTCAGTTCTTGGATACTTGCCTAGAAAATAACCAGGATGTCCTTGCGTCTACTATTTTCATAGAAAAACAGACTTCACACTGAAGTCTTCACTAATACAGGAATATACTCCTTCCAAGGTTTAATCAGTTGTGGAAATTAGAAAGGTGATCTCCTATTATCCATCACTTCTGCTTTTCCCATGCTCAACACATTTATTTATTCAACAAATATTTTTGACCATCTGTTAGGCACTGATTTAGGCCCTTGGGATGTAACAGTTGCAAGAGACAAATTCCCTGACCTCATGGAGCACATATTCCAGTGGGGAAAGACAAACACTAAACATGCAAACAAATAATTTTAGATATCAGTAAGTGTTATTAAGGAAGAAAATAGCAGTGTGGTTAGAGATGCACTGGGTGGAGGCCGCTTAGGTGTAGGAAACTATCTGGAAGAAGATGAGACCAAAAAAAATGAGAATGAGCCAGCTATGCAAAGAGCTGGGAAAAGCTAGAGCAAAGGGTTTAAGATGGGAACAGGCTTGGCATATTTGAGGAACAAAAGGAAGAAGCTGGATGGGGAGAATAGTAGAAGGTGACATTGGAGAGTTGGACAGGGGGCCAGACCATGAAAGGCCTTGTAAGCTACAGTCAGGGGTTAGAATGCTATTTTGAGTGTGATCCAAAGCCATTGAATGATTTGAAGAAGGGAACTGAAATGATCTGAAGGGATTGATATGGGTATGTTCGTGATATTTTGATTGTAGAGATGGTTTCCTGGGTGGGAACGTATCATATTGTACACTTTAATGTATTCAGTTTATTGTATGTCAATTATACTTCAATAAAGTTGTTTTAAAAGGAAGGCAAAGACTTCCAGGTTTTTGACCTGGCAAACTAGTTGAACAGTAATGTCTTTTACTGAGAAGAGAAAGTTCATTTATGATATAGCCTGCATGCGGTCTCAGAGCCACTCTGTAGGAATAATAATAATAATCCATCCCCCTGTGAATAGACTACATTAGTTGAGAGTATAGCTTCAGCTACTATAACACAGATCAAAACAAGACAGAAGCCCATTTCTCTTGGTCACAATCATCCAGCCATAAGCAGTGCAGGGTAAGTATCTGAGTTCCACAATGCCAGAGTTCCCAACCCCCTTCTATCTTATCCATATGATCCAAGATTACTCATCACCCCCATGTCCACAGCCTAGCTAGGAGGAAAGGGGAAAGTAAGGGCAGGCTCACTCCTTCTGTTTAAAGGCATGTCCTGTCCTAGCCAGTTTGGCTCAGTGGTTAGAGTGTCAGCCTGCACGGACTGGAGGGTCCTGGGTTTCTGACCAAGGCCATGTACCTAAGTTGAAGGCTTGATCCCCATGGGACTGCTTTTGGGAGGCAACCAATGGATGTGTCTTTCCCACATCTATGTTTCTCTCTCTCCCTTCCACTTTCTCTGAAAAGCAATGGAAAAATTATGCTTGGGTGAGGATTTTTAAAAAAAGACACAGCCTGGCCGGGCGTGGCTCAGCAGTTGAGCGTCGACCTAGGATTCAGGCGATCAGGGTTCGATTCCCGGTCAGGGCACATGCCTGGGTTGCGGGCTCAATCAATGACTCTCTCATCATTGATGTTTCTATCTCTCTCTCTCTCCCTCGCTTTTCCTCTCTCTGAAATCAATAAAGATATATTTTTTAAAAAAATAAAAAATTAAATTAAATTAAAAAATTAAAAATTAAAAAAAGACACAATTATTAAATAAATAACTTATTAAATAAATAAAGGCATGTCCCAGAAAGAATTGAATGGCCATTCCTGGCTGCAAGAGAGGCTGGGAAATGTAGTTATTATTATGGGCAACTATATGTCTAGTTAAACACCAGGAATTCAATTATTATGAAAGGGAAACAGAAAACAGTCATTGGGGGGAAATAAGCAGCTTCTGACATCAGAGTTTTTCAGCTTACAAAGCCATGTCTATTCATTGCATCGTCTNGATTCCCGGTCAGGGCACATGAC